AATAGAGTTACAGTTACTATTTACAATATACAAGTGCACATGGTGCACACAATGTAAGGTGACAGCAGTACAGTGAAGTAAAGTGACGTATGATGGGCAGTAAAGTGACTTTATAAAGGGCGGGGGGACAGGTTAAGAAGTGTTCAAGAGTCCAACAGCAGAGGGGAAGAAACTGTTCTTGTGGCGGGAGGTTCTAGTCCTGATGGACCGCAGTTTCCTGCCTGAGGGGAGTGGTTGGAATGTCCATGTGCAGGGTGAGAGGGGTCGGCTGTGATACGACCAGCCCAGCCTCGAGCTCGGGCGACGTACAGGTCCTGCAGCGATGGAAGGCTGCGGCCGATCACTTCCTCTGCAGAGCGCACAATGCCCTGTAGTCTGTTTGTCCCTGACTGTGGCTCCAGCAAACCACACGGTGATGGAGGAGGTGAGGATGGACTCGATGATGGCCGTGTAGACAAACATCTGTGCAGGCAGCTTGGCTTTCCTGAGCTGCCGCAGGAAGTACATACTCTGCTGGGCCTTCTTGATGAGGGAGCTGATGGTCGGCTCCCACTTGAGGTCCTGGGTGATGGTGGTGGCCAGGAAACAGAAGGACTCCACAAAGGTGATGGGAGAGTCCATCACGGAGGGTGGGGGCGGGGAGACAGTGCTCTTCCTGAAGTCCACAATCATCTCCACTGTCTTCTGGGCGTTCAGCTCCAGGTTGTTACCACAGCACCAGGACACCAGCCGGTCCACCTCCCTCCTGTAGGCGGACTCATCATTGTTGGAGATGAGTCCAATGAGGGTGGTGTCGTCCGCGAACTTGATCAGCTTCACGGAGTAGTGGCTGGAGGTGCAGTGGTTGGTGTACAGGGAGAAGAGCAGGGGAAAAAGAACACAGCCCTGTGGGGCTCCTGCATTTATAATCAGAGAGTCCGAGACATTCTTCCCCAGACGCACTTGCTGCTTCCTGTCCGTCAGGAAGTCAGTGATCCACCTTCAGGTGGATTCGGGCACGTTGAGCTGGGAGAGCTTGTCCTGGAGAAGGGATGGCAGGATTGTGTTGAAGGCAGAGCTGAAGTCCACAAACAGGACCCTGGCGTAGGTCCCCGGGGAGTCCAGGTGCTGTAGGATGTGGTGGAGGGCCAGGTTGATGGCATCGTCTACAGATCTGTTGGCTCTGTAGGCGAACTGCAGGGGGTCCAGGAGGGGGGAGGTGAGGGACTTGAGATGGGAGAGAACCAGGCGTTCAAATGACTTCATGGCGACAGACGTAAGTGCTACAGGTCTGTAGTCGTTGAGTCCTGTGATCCTGGGCTTCTTCGGGACGGGGACAATGATGGAGGATTTGAAGCAGGCCGGGACATGGCAGGACTGTAGAGAGGTGTTGAAAATGTCAGTAAACACAGGAGTAAGCTCACTGGCGCAGTGTCTCAAAGTGGCCGGAGACACGTGGTCCGGGCCAGGAGCTTTGCGGGGGTGCAGCCTCAAAAAGAGTTGTTTAATATCTTTAGAGGCTATTGTCAGGCTGGGGGCAGGGCTGATGGGTGGGTCGTTAGAGTAGTGGGGGGTGGGGGAGGGAGAGGTGTCAGGGGCAGCATCAAAGCGACTGAAAAATAAGTTCAGTTCGTCAGCTAGCTTGTGGTCGTCAGCACAGGGGGGGGCTTTGGGCTTGTAGTGATCTCCCTTAGGCCCCTCCAGACAGAAGCAGTATTGTTGTTACCAAACTGCTCCTGTAGTCGTTCTCTGTGCCGGGACTTGGCTGCTTTCAGTTCTTTCCTGAACTGATATTTAGCTGCTTTATTTTTTCTCTATTTCTCTATTTATTTCTGTATTTATTTCTGTATTTATTTCTGTATTTATTTCCGTATTTCTCTTAATGATTTGCAAATCATGGGGTGGGCCGGGATGCCTCTGCTGTAAGCTCATTGGTTAATCTTTTTCCTTGCTCCATAGCTTGTCCAGCATAGGCGATCATGTTGAGATCACTGTGTTCTCGCTATAGCCATGTCAGAACGAAAAAATAAAATAAAAATCTCAAGCATTCTTCCATATGCAACAATTGCATTGTGTGTGTGTTTTTTTGTCCGGCTCGTGAGAGGCTTTTGGCAAAGGCAGTGACAGGTGCTCGTGTGTATTTTACTACAGAGCGCTGAAGTCCGCCGAAAAACCCAGCGTTCGAAGTGTGTGTTTTACACTCAGACACTGGAGCTTTCAGTGAAGGCTGAGAGAGACTGAAAAGTGGACGCGGCCACAGCACTGACCGAGCCATATTCATGGTACAAACGTGGCGCGAGTGTGGAGGGGAGTGTGGGGGGGGGTGCAAAATGCAAAAATAAATTAATAAATAGAGAAATAAATAAATAGAGAAATAAACAAATAGAGAAATATATAAATAAATACAGAAATACAGAAATAGAGAAATAAATGTATAAATGCAGAAATAAATGTATGAATAAATACAAAAATAAATAAATAAATATATAAATAAATAAATACAGAAATAAATGCACTTATTCTCATAATTGCATGCATTTCTTTGCAAATTTTATCTTTTTTAAATGTATTTATTTATTTATTTATTCATGTATATATTTATTGTTTTGGCAGCCACGGTCCTCCATAGTGTGTTGCTTTTGTACCATTTCATCACTGATTGCTATACAGCTTACGTTGAGTTCATACCAATGTTTGCATACGTATCAGATCGCAAATAAACTAGATGACTCCTGGCACGAGAGCGTAGGGGAAATGAGGAGCCTCTGAGCGAGTTGAGGGGCGGTGCTAAACATTCAAACCTTGCAGAAACGGGTATAGCTCCTTTTAAGTATCATGATCCTACAAAAAGGGGCTAAACACACGGTAATCAATTAAATTCGTATTTCTAATGTACAACATGTAGATTATATAAGTATGGCTGACATACAATACATGTATTTCCGAAGTAAGGGTCCAATGTAACACTAATGATGCATCATATGTGTATTTGAATGCCCGCAAAAGCCCAGGACAGTGTGTTGCCGTGTGGTCTAATGTATTCTGACACACGTTCCCTTCCTGCTGGCTCCTCTTCCTCAGGGCAGACTCAGCGATGATGCAGCAGAAACATAAAATACATGTAATCCTCTTCAAATAGGAAGAGGAAAATAAACATGCAGAAAGTTTTTGGGGAAGTTGCATAAAATGATTCCTATCTGGGCCATGGAGTTCTCTGCTGATAACGGTCTCTCATTAGCGCATAGAGAGAAGGTAATGTTTGTGCCTGTGCGTGTGTGTGTGTGTGCGTACGTGTGTGTGTGTGTGTGTGTGCGTGTGTGTGTGTGTGTGCGTGTGCTTGTGTGTGGCGAGAGGAAGGACCAGAGAGAGAGACCTCAGAGAGAGACCAGAGAGAGACTACAAAGAGAGACCGGAGAGTGATCAGAGAGAGCCTTGTATAATTGTTTCTATCCTGTTTTTTTCCACACTTTGAGTTGCCTTTTGTGAACTATGCCATACAAATAAACTTGCCTTACCTTCCTTCTGCCTTCCCTGAACTGAACCTCAGCACCTCGACTTTCTCCAGAGACTGGTTTCTCAGTTGTGGAATGCCTGTCTTAATAAACAGTAGTCGTCATGCTTGCTTTAAAAATAGACCACTCTGAGATGCACAGAGATGGTGACAGTTAAACTCTTTACTTTCTATATTCCCATATTATGTGAAATTGCAGAATCCGGCTGTCAATCACAGCCTTTTAAATGTAAAAGTAACAGATGGAGAGAATCAGGAGCTGAGGCCCGAGGCGCAGCCACTCACCCCATGCCTGGGACCTGCTCTTAGACCATTAGGAGGTTGACAGGTTTAGAACAAACAGATGTAGGTTTTGAACAACAAATGTTTTCCAATGTGGTTTTAGTGCAAACAGCAAATACAGTGAATCTGGATCAGATAAATACAAAGTAAATGAGTACTTACATATACTTAGTTCTACTTAGTTCATGGATTGTACTTTGTAGAATCCATGACCTTTGTCTTTAACTTCAGCGTTAGCCTCCGTGATCTTGGCTCATTCTCCAACTGTATATTTGTGCACCACTCAAAATCAAAACACCAACCGTTTTAATGCAATAAAAACAAACACATAGGGGCTTTTGGTCCATCGGGAGCAGGATTATCACTGTGCAGATATAATAATAAATGTCCCGGATCCTCACAGTCCTTAGACCCTCAAAAATGTGAGAAACCTCAAGGAGGTCCAGTTTGTTAGAGGGATCTGTTCCCATGAACGGACAGGCTGTTGATCCAGGACTGAGGCTGTAGATCCATAATTGAGTTGGGCTCTGTTTGAAAATTTTGAAATTGTAAAGAAAAGCAAATCCTACCCCTATTTTCTGATAAGATAAGTTAAGATAAAACTGTGTTGTTCTCACAATGGAGAAATTTACATCAAATGTATATTTATTCACCTTTCATACTTCATCATAGATTTGATTCTGAAGAAGAATTTTCACATTCTAAAATATGAAATGACAAAGTAATTATTATATTTTTAGAATATATTTTTTAGAATCCTTATCTACATTTTGAAACATGGCTCCTTTAAATAAAAACCATCTTAAAACAATGCCACAAATGAAAAATGTTTACAAAATTGTGAACGCAGGCACTGACTGTCTGCCTGGTCTCTACTCTCTGGTCACTGTCTCATTTTTGGTTTTATTGTTAATTTGTTTGGAACAGTGCATGTTAATGAACACACCACTCCAGATTGTAGCCTGAGGCTAATTTCCATCCGTCGACCACATACTCATTCACCCTGAACCACTCTGAGGTCTCTCTGCAGTTTCTCTCTCTGGATTTGCTCTGGTATCTTGTATCTCCTGTGTCTTTCTTTGGTTTCTCTTTCTGGTTCTTCTCTGGTCTCTCTCTACTGTATCTCTCTCAGGTTTCTCTTTCTCCGGTCTCTCTCCCTGGTCTCCTTCTGATCTTTCTCCTGGCTTTCCTAAGTCTGACGTGGTTCATGTTGTTATTGTGTGTGCAGGGTTTGGTGGGACAGTGAGGGCCTCCACATCCTCAGGCCCTCAGCCTCAGACCAGGGCCAGTACAAATGCATCTGCAGCAACATCCATGGCTCTGACTCCGAGACGTCTCTCCTCAGGGTGGCAGGTCAAGCTCCATTTATTCATGTTGTAATCCAATTATTTTTGCACATGCTTTTACTCAGATTTCAGTCAATCAATCAGATTTATTGATAAAGCACAATTCATGTAGTGCAATCCAGAAATTATACACATTTAGAATCATCAAATTATTAAATGAATCTTTTTTTCTTTTCTTTTTTTTTTAAATTAATTTATATGAAACTCCATGTTTAGTCCTGACTCTGGGTACCAGCAGGAGGCTAGTCCCTATGCTCCTCAGAGTCTCGGCAGGGAGTCAGTTACTGTGCTCCTCATTTGTCACTAACATGTCACAGATGTACTGTACTTTGATGCAAGGGCATGGAGAGACTTGTGCACAGGCTGAGCCAAAGGAAGCCAATGCTGTGAACTTAGACCAGGACTAATGTGAAATCATCAAATCATCAAACAAATAGAACCAATGTTGGTAAAATGACCTAAAACTGATGTGATAATGACATGTCTTTATCACAGTTATTGGATGATGAATATAGAATGTGTAACACTGTATGAGATGTATGATGTGTTTCTGACCCCTCCAGAGGCTCCTTCCATCGCTGTGTCCTGGAGGAATGTCTCAGACAGTGGACAGAGCCTCCGAGTCGCTGTGGGCTCTACCGTCAGTGTCCAGCAGGGGGCCAACCTCACCCTGGACTGTCCTGTGACCGGTACGTTTATAAAGTATGATTACTACGGTGTAAATTTCTCCAGTGTGAGATCAATAAAGTCTATCTTATCTTATTACACATGAAGTCTAAGCTACTGTAAGTCATACTAGAAACACTTGGCCTTCCATCCATTTACTTCTCCTATATCCGTTGCCGGGTCGCGGGGGCAGTAGCCTGATCAGAGATGCACAAACCTCCCTTTCCACACACAGTTCCTCCAGCTCATCTGGCAGAATCCTGAGGCATTCCCAGGCCAACTGAGAGACCCAGATCCGTGGTTTAGATGGATGAGTCTCTTTTACAGCAGGTGTGAATCATGCCTCTTTCTTTTAATCTCACTTTCAGGGGTCCCGTTACCTACTGTGACCTGGCTGAGGAGGAGTGGACCTCTGCCCGCCTCAGTCCTGCTCACGTCCGGTTCTCTCTGGATCAGCAACTTCTCCGTCTCAGACCAGGGCACTTACTCCTGTGTCGCCAACAACTCTGTGGGGAAATCAATCGCCTCCAGTGCCCTGCACGTGTTCAGCCAGAGACCAGCAAACGGTAAACCAGCTGTTTCCAGAGCAGAGACCCATCCCAGGATAGGGTTTGGGGCCTGAGGTCTCTCTCTTTGGTCTTTCTCTAGTCTCTCTGCCTAGCTTTCTTGCTCTGGTCTCTCTCTAGTCTTTGGTGGCGCTCTCTTCTCTCTCTCTCTCTGGTCTCTCTCTAGTCTCTAGTAGTCTGTCGAGTTTTTCTCTCATAGCTTTGGTCTCTCTCTGGTGTTTTGCTCTGGTCTCTCTCTTGTCTCTCTCTCTCTGGTGTCTCTCTAGTCTTTCTCTCTCTGTAGTCCTTATCTCTCTGGTCTCTCGCTAGTCTTTTTCTCATCCCTCTCTGGTCTATCTTGGGGTCTCTCGCGGGTCTCTCTCTCTCTTTCTGGTCTCCCTCTGGTCTTTCTCTGAGGGCCCAGTAGACATCAGAAAGAGGGATGGAATGCTGTATTTCTTTCACTCTTTTTCATTTACAGTGACAAGGCAGGATTTTACTAATTCTTTTATTTATTTTGTTAATCTTACCTTGCCCTTTCTTCAGTATGTTCTTCTCTTTTACTCTGTCTGTAAATGTTACAGTGGCCTCGCATCCTGTGGGGGAGAGCCGAGCAGATGTTCCTCAGGAGCTGAACCGCAGGAGGCTCCTGATGGCGTCCAGTGGAGGAACCAGCGTCTTCATCCGACCAGGAGACGTCGTCAGGATAGGTACTAAAGAAGTCACTGTAAAGGGACTAAAATAAAAAGGTGGTGCAGTGGTTAGCACGTGTACCTCACAGCCCCCTCCAGTCTTTCTCTGTGGAGGTGCTCCGGTTTCCCCTTACTTTCTAAAGGCATGTACAATAGGTCTGGCATGCGTCTGCTGAACAGCGGCCCTGCTCCCATCTCTATAAGGAGTGAGAGACCGATACCCGCAACAATTGTCAAGCGCTTTGTGACTCTGGTCCGTGAAAGGTGCAATATAAATAAATATGACTTACTTACTTACTTACTTACACTGAGAATAGTTACCAGAGATTTGTGCTTCTAGTCTCTCTCTCTGATCTCTCTCTGGTAACTCTCTGGGCATTCTCTGCTCTCTCTGTGGTCTCTCTCTCTGGTCTCGCTCTGGTCTCTCTCCGGTCTTGACAACATTTACTTCATAATTAAGTTCCCTTTGTGTCACTTGTTAATTTTGAATCCAAATTAATGTTGTAAAAAGTTCTTTGTGATTAACCCCACTCTAGGACCTTATTGGATCAGATATTATTTTTTAGGTTTCAACTTTAACTGTGCCTTCATTCGTTGATAACGCTGTCTTATTTGAAGCTATCACAAGTTTTGTTTGGGTTTTCATTTTATGATAGAAACATTCCCCCAGTAATTACATAATTATAAACCAATACAACATCTGAATCTTGATAACAGAGAGGTTTTCAAGAGTCTGTTTTCCTTCACACGTTTTTGTGCACTGTGATTATTCATGATTGATATTCCTTCTGTGAACATTTCTCCCATTGATTACATTAATCTAAATCTTGAGAGCACGAGTTGACCCTTCTGTCGCACCACACACCAAGATAGAGAAAAGGATTAAGTTTCTAGAGTCGCTACAACGTGTCTTACATCATGTATTTCAATTTGTTAGCACTGATCCTTGAGTGGCATTAATCCTTCTTTGTCCCACTCATTTTAATTACAGATCTTATGGTGCATTCATTATCCTAATTACATTCTTCTAAATGTCAGAGAATTATACATCAGAGACTTAAACAAATCCTATTATTCCCAGAATCAAACACTTGCTTCATTTGTAGCTTGAACATCTCTACAATTAGTGCTTCCGTTTGAGTTTTCTTGCGACTGGCTCCTCTGAACTCATTCCAACTCCACTTTTCAATGTTTAAGCCATTTTCAACCTTAAAGCTGGAGTACTTCACTTTTAATCCACAAAAATCAAATCGCAATTTAATAAAATCACATAGTTTCATTTCACATGTGTGTATTTTTGGTCTTTTGTCTCTCTCTGTTGTCTATCTCTCTCTGGTTACTCTCTGGTCTCTCTCTCGGCCTGTCTTTGGTTTCTCTCTCTCTATAGTCTCTCTCTAGTCTCTCTCTCCCTGCTCTCTCTGTTGTCTATCTCTCTCTGGTTACTCTCTGGTCTCTCTCTCGGCCTGTCTTTGGTTTCTTTCTCTCTATAGTCTCTCTCTAGTCTCTCTCTCCCTGCTCTCTCTGTTGTCTATCTCTCTCTGGTTTCTCTCTGGTCTCTCTCTCTCAGCCTCTCTTTGGTTTCTGTCTCTCTATAGTCTCTCTTTAGTCTCTCTCCGGTCTCTCTCACGGTCTCTGGGGTCTCTCTCTCTCTGGTTTTTCTCTCTGGTGTCTCTCTCGGCCTCTCTCTGGTTTCAACTCTGCATGTGCATAGATGTCCATATACAGTATAATGCGCACACCCAAACACGTGATATACATACCGCTCAATGCAGCCCAGACTCCCCCATAAATTAAGTTTAAGACCCCTGCTCTAACACAAACTAGCTAAAAGCTTTCTATAATGAAACAGCCTCATCAAAACCTACATGAAGTACATTCCTGATATTTTGGCTTTCCTCATTGTAAATATCTCCTGTCTCTTTTCTGTAGGATGTCCGGTGGTTCCTCGCCACGCCGTACCTGTGCGCTGGTTCTTGAACAATCGCAGCCTGGAGGAGGGGGCCCATGCCTCCAACTCTGCCCCTCTGTTTCGGGTTCTGGCTGGGGGCAGAGCTCTGGAGGTCAGCACCGTACAGACCCAGTTCTCCGGACGGTACCAGTGTGAGACCCAACTCAGCAGCAGCAGCAAACCACTCACAGCCTGGATCTATGTCTACTCGCAAGGTACAAGGGATTTCATCCGTAACGAAGAGTAGTGCTCCCCACAGACTGTATACAGATGGACAATGCTAACCCGCTAGCTCAAAACAGCCCAATAGAGAAGTGTTCATGGTCAAAGTTTTGCTCCAACTCTTTCTGGCGGGTATTGACCTAGATGGAAAATGAAACTTCTCTAGCTCAGTAACCGTTTGTGTCTCACTCACCACTTTGGGCTTCATCGTCACTATTCTCTCTGCTCTCTCTTTGGTCTCTCTCTGCTCTCTCGCTGCTCTCTCTTTGGTCTCTCTCTGCTCTCTCGCTGCTCTCTCTTTGGTCTCTCTCTGCTCTCTCACTGCTCTCTCTTTGGTCTTTCTCTGGTCTCTCTCAGACTCCCTCAGACTCGCATAAGCATAGGTGATGGCGCAAAATATTGACAACTTCATGAGTGTTATTATTTTGAGTTAAAGAAATCTAATTTCTGGTCTAAAAAGAGGATTTAAACTTAAATATTTGCTTTAGTATAGAGTAAGACACAAAGAGACGAGTGCTCTCTGCATATGAATACTGCAGGCCTGAGCCCACCAGGTTACTGTACATCTCTTCATTATGTCTTGAGACTCTCCGCTATCTCTCTCTGGTCTCTCTAGTCTCTCTCTCTGATCTCACTCTGGTTTCTTTCTTGTCTCTCTTTGATCTCTCTTTGCTCTCTCTCAGATATGTCTCTTTCTCTCTCTGATCTCTCTCTGGTCTTTCCCTTGTCTCTCATTGGTCTCTCTCTGGTCTCTCTCTCAGATTCCCAGACTTGCATATAATCTCTGTGAATTTTAACTCAAAATAATAACACTGCCATCAAGTTGTACATACATCATTCTGATATACAGTACTTTAAATGTATTGAGTAATGTCGGAAATAGGGGTGCGGGGGGTGTGGCCGCAACCCTTCCCTTCCAACCCTGTACGCTCAGACGCCTATGAGTGAGCCGGACATACTGGGTTGCGTGTGCAGGGGACCAGAAGTTATAACGATTCAAGGTGTTACGTCTATGCTGCAGCCCCAAACTCACTCCATGCTGTCGGAGGTGGAGAAACTTATAAAGTTCTGTCCAGCCCATACAGTATCTGTCGCGGCCTCTGAGTGCTCTTTCTCAGCCTTGCGGAGATTGAAGACTTGACTAAGATATAAGGAAGCAGGAGAGGCTGACGCATTTGTCCATTATGAATGCATATAGTGACCTGATAGAATGCGTATAGTGACCTGATAGATTAATGCAATGTTTCTACTCTGCTTGAACCACTCATCCGTAGGTCCACTGAGAGAAGGTCCACTTTTGGAAACATATGAAAGTTCTTTTGTGATTACAAACTGTTCCACTTCTGTGAGTGTCAATGTTGCACGATTGTTCCATAGTTACAGCTTTTGAAAATGCATATTTTTATAGCTTATCTTTTATTGATGCGCATAATTGTTTTTTGGAGCAGCGTGTGCGTCTGATGGTGCGCACGTGCCATACAGCAAAATTGTGTTTGTTATGCCTGCTTTGAAATAAAGTATTTCCAGTTTGATAAGTGCCTTACTTGATTTATATTGTTTCTTTTTCTTGTTCTAAACAATTAAGATTTAATTATTATTAAAGAATTATTATCCAGTCTAATCCAAGGATGTGTCTTTCCCAACAAAATATCAATTTGCATAAACATCAGTGATGGCTCAAAACATATACTTAAACTGGAAGATCACAAAGACACGACAGACGCCATTGTTGCAGTGCGGTACATGAGTTGGTATTGAGTGTAGTGGAGAGGGTGTCTCCATAGTTCATCCTTCCTGCTGTGTGTGTAACAAGTCTTTCAAAATGGACTAGAATCTTGTTAAAACTGTAATAAGTTCAGTTTTGCTCCACAAGTGCCCTCTCCTCTTTGTCTGGAAACTACTTGATAAAGGTCACATTTTCAGTGGAACCTCTCTTTATGTATTTCCCCCGTAACCCTCTCCACTGAACTTCACAAACGGCTGAATGGGTAATGGCCGCTGGACCTGGGGATGTTATTTTATGAGCTGCTTTTGGCTATTTCTTTGAATTTTAGTCCTCCCTTCACAGGATCCTTTTCTTTCAATGAGCTGGAGAGGAGACAGGAGCGAGTAAGAGGGTAGGAGTCAGTCTGTGTCTGTCCTTCAGCCTGTCCCCTGAAAGAAATATCCACACAGTCTCAATCTTCTCCTATATTATCAAGTCCATGTTACGTGTTGTGTGTGTCTGTAAAACTAAATTACACGGCTGCCAAAATTACACACAGAGTCACCAAGTGTTTCATAATTGTGTGGGCTTAATTAGAGTCAGAGTTCTTTATAATGTCATTGTAAACAAAAGGAACTCACAAACAGAAGTTTCTTTGACTCATGATGCAAACAAGTTATGAAAGTAATTCAATCTGAAGAGACCAAGACAGACACATTAATGTATGAAAAAGATTTATTCGTTCGGCGCATTGATCTTGGCAGTGACACTCGCAGAAGGGAGGTCATTTGCTGCTGAAGATGATCAGCATGATGTGAATGGGGCGTAGGTGGAGCAGGAGCAGGAGCCAGGGCAGGAGCCAGAGCAGGAGCCAGAGCAGGAGCCAGAGCAGGAGCCAGGGCAGGAGCCAGAGCAGGAGCCAGAGCAGGAGCCAGGGCAGGAGCCAGAGCAGGAGCCTGAGCAGGACCCAGGGCAGGAGCTTGAAGAGGCGCTCTGGAGGTGATGGTGGTGGGTGTTAAGAGCTTCATAGAGTGGCTGCTTTTAAACTGCCCGCTTTGCCGACAGTGGGTTGGTAAGAGGCTGGCCGGGCTGAGTGATTGGCAGAGGCTTGAGGCTGGCAGAGCTGTGTGATTGGCTGAGGCTCGAGAGGCTGGCAGAGCTGTGTGATTGGCTGGCCCTGGACGGGGTGAGAGCTGTGGCATGGTCTTCTCAGTCTGAATTTACACTTCTGCTTCATTAGTAAGTATAAGGCATGCCTAAAAAAATCTTCATACCATTTCTTAAAATTACACAATATTATACATTTAGGCGGCACGGTGGCTGAGTGGATAGCACTCTAGCCTCTCAGCAAGAAGGTCCTAGGTTCGAATCCCGGTCGGACCAGGGCCTTTCTGAGTGGAGTTTGCATGTTCTCCCCGCGTCTGCGTAGGTTTCCTCCGGGTACTCCGGTTTCCCCTACCACTAAAAATATGTCCAATAGTTCAGGCATGCACCTCCTGTACAGGCGACCCCGCTCCCATCTCTGTGTGGAGTGAGAGGACAAATGCCCAAAATTAACAATTGTAAACCGCTTTGAGACTCAGATCTGCAGTGAAACGGCGGTATATAAATAAAGATTACTTAAAGATTACTTAAGAGTAAAGTGACTGTAGTTTATGGTGACAGTAGTATAAAGTGACAGTAGAAAAGGGCAGGGGTCAATCAAGAGTTATGAAGTGTTCTTGTGTCCAACTGCAGAAGGGACGAAACTGTTGTTATGTTGGGAGGTTCTGGTCCAGGTAGACCATAGCCCCCTGCCTGAGAGAGGTTCTGGTCTAGATAGGCTATAGCCCCCTGTCTGAGGGAAGTGGTTGGAAAAGTCCATGTGCAGGTGAGAGGGGTGGGCAGTAATACGACCAGCCCCTGACCAGGCTGTACGTTTGACTAGCAGTATCTTGTATCAATAAAAGCTGATGATTGTTTTTCAGAGTACAGCTGGCGTCTGGGTGAGTGGAGCGCCTGCAGCTCTTCCTGTGGCAGCAGAGGGACCCAGCTGAGGAGGGTCCGCTGTGTGTCTGTCCAGGGCAAAGAGGTTGCCCCCGGCATGTGCCTGGACCGGCCCAAACCCCTCACCCATGTTGTCCCATGTAACAACCAGGACTGTCCCCCCAGGTCTGAGCCAGTCTCAAATGTACGAGGGGATACAGCATCTGTAAACCCTTTCACTCACACCTGAACTCACAAGTGCTGAAGTTTCCTGTGTATACACAGTAAAATACCGTGACGGAGGACACCGCGCTGAGGGGCAGAGACCAGAGAGAGATTCCAAAGAGAGAGAGCAGAGGCCAGCGTGAGAAAGACCAGAGAGAACTGAGGGAGATCAGTGAGGGAAAATCCTCTGAACTAATCCGCAATTAGTCATTAGACTAATCAGAGAAGGAGGAAGTGTGTCTGGAGAGGGAAGTCTTGGCGTCTCTGCTCAGACTGCTGACCCCACGACTCAGAACCAGATCAAGCAGAATTATGAATATTCAAAGAAGCGTTAGATGCCCTGTGTGAGTGTCCATAGACCCCCCGCCCAGCCCCCCGCCCCCCACGCTTTCCAGGGGGTCTCAGCATTGGGCCTGTTTTCCCATCAACCTTTGTGGTAAACATCCCAACAGCATCACACAATTTCAATCAGTTACATGACACACAATACCTTTAAAGCAAGAGCCAAGTTATCCCCTGCTGGAATTACAAAGAGCATATTTGAAAGTGTGGTACCAAAAGAATGTGATAGCTTTACCACTACTGACATATTTAAAAAGGTAGATCGATAGATAGATACTTTATTGATCCCTCGTAGGAGAAAGTCGTGTGTCTAGTAGCAGCAGAAATGCAAGCATCCATAGAAACAAAACAAATAAAAAAATAATAATAATTCCGCTGGTTGGAGCAGAACAGGTCACAGCAGAAGAGAGGGTGTAACCTTTGATGCCGCTTTTCCATAGTCACGGTACGGCACGGCGCGGCCGAGTGTGGGTGCTTTTTAATTAAAAATGGTACCTCCAAGTTTCTCCTGAGCGTGAGAGGGGTTGTCAAAACACTAAATTTACGCGTGACGGGTAACTGGTAACATTGGTCTGATAATTTGTCATTTGAAATGAAATGTTTTTATTTCGAGTTCAAAACATAACTTAGTTATTTAAAATACATGTATATTGTAAATCTACGTATCTAAGTATGAGAAGTAAAAAAGGAATATGTGATAAAAAATCATATGCCTAAACATTTATTTTGCCCTTGTGTTTTGACCAAAAATAAAACCTTTTTGTATTTGGCAAATATGTCTCCATCCTCGTTCATAAATTTACCACGGTTATATGGATTTACTGACAAATATGATGTATGTAATGTTAATGGAAGTAAAAGTAAGTGGTAGGAAATTGTAACTTTTGAACCCCTTTTATGCATGTGTACAGACAAATGAATGAAACAAAGTCTTGATACAATCACAGATTTATTAAAAAAGAAAAGTAAAGTGCAAAACCAACAATTTACAAAGTCCAAAGTACGCATGTCTCTTGAGACCAGGTCCAGATGAGGAGAAAGTTAAGTACTCCGGTCACTCATTGTTTGTTTCAAATCTCCTCACTTGTGGGAAGGGATTCTCAAACAAATAAATATACACACAACAACTTATACACAAAACAGAATGGCAAAACGTGAAAGAGCAAAATACAGCACACTAGCACAGGAAGGGCGTTTTAGCTTAGCTTGCTATCGATAGTTAAGTGTCGCTAGCTCACTGTGTACAACAGATACGTAGAAATAACTGGATATAACTGGATACGTAGCTAATCAGTTATTTCCAGGATTACCACAGACTAGTCACAAATCAAGAGCGATGTCCCTGAAAACCTGCCTTCCTAAAGACACATTTGTTTGGACAGGCGTTCTCGCACCATTGTTCATAGGCCTCTGTGAATGTAAATTGTGTTTTCTGTGTTTGTTTTATCTGACTTGTATGTGTATTTTGTATTTTAATGTGTGAAGCGCTTTGTGACCCTGGTCTGTGAAAGGCGCTATACAAATAAACTTTACTTACTTACTTACTTACTTACTTCCTTCGGCCTAAAGAGAGTAACGTGTAGACCTCATCGGCCGACCAGGACACTGACTTTTGGTGCTTTCTGTGCGATTTCATTTCTCTGGAGTGAGAAGTACGTTATTAGAATAGATCCATGGTCGGACGTATTGAAGCGGAGTAGCCGGTTTTAAAGATGGCGGGGTTGGGTTGTTTTTACATTGGGTCGGACGTCACTTTCAGGGCCGACACTCGTTGACCGATCAGAGGAAGGCAGACAGCTGACGTCACCTCAGGGTATCGCTTCGGCGCGGATGGAACCACAGTGGAGGTGGTATGAAAAAAGTACCCCCAATCCCAAGCCCAATAGTGGAAATGCAAAATATCCGCGCCGTGCCGTACTGTACTGTTACTGTGGAAAAGCGGCATGAGTGAAGCAGGACGAGTCACAGCAGCAGAGATGCACAGCAGGTATGGCACATAACAGTAGGTATGGCACATAACAGCAGGTATGGCACATAACAGCAGGTATGGGACATAACTGGAATCTATTAGGGATGCAAACAGTCAGAGAAACAAAAGGCTCAAGTATTCTGACAGAAGCGAGGCACCATCACCATCCATTTGTTTTAGTGAAATAGGCATTGCAAGTATATTTGTCAAACACATATCGTACAAATTGTAACACAACTTCATAACTGAACAGTGTCTTTATGTTACTTCAGGTGGGCCGTGTCCGCCTGGTCCCAGTGCTCCTCCTCGTGTGGGGGTGGGCGGCAGAGCAGGCAGGTGGTCTGTCAGCAGCTGGACGCTCAGGGGTCAACCAGGAGCCTATCTCCGCAGGACTGTGAGGGGACAACCCAGCCCCAGCAAACTCAGAACTGCACCTCTGACTACTGCCCCAGCTGGGTCACGGGCCCCTGGGGGAAGGTGAGGACTGTTGATAAAGCGAGTTGTAAACCTCCTCCCACAGGTTTACCAAGTTAATCTGCCCAGAACAAAGGGGTAAATCGATAAATCACAACAGTTGTAGTTTCACCAACAACAGAATAGAGAGTCAAACTTGATTCTCTATTCTGTTGTTGGTGAAACTACAACTTGCAGAAGGTTATATATATATATATATCCTTCTGCAAGGAAACCTTTTTTTTCCACACAGAGATTTGGATTTTCTCCGGGCAGGCTGATTTTACATATTAAAAACAAGAAAATTTGAACATGAATATAACTTTATTTAAGTTATATTGTCCCTGTTGGGTAATGTGTTCTCTGCCTTCAGCCCATCCATCACGTGGGCCTCTGTCAAGAGCAGTGGTCGCCATAGTTACAAGGCCTCCAGATGTTGATACTCTTCAGGACCAGAGCTGGAGGTTTTACCTATTGTACAAGTTTCAGAGACACGAACAGGCCCTGTTCCGACCGGGTATTAAAGTAAACAAATTTAAACATGTCAGCTTATTCCACATAAGCTTCTTTGAATGTATTTGTAAGTCATTTGGGAAAGTTACAGTTAATGATCACCAATAACAGAGATAGATATTTATGGATCCTTTCAGAGTTGGAGGATTCTCATCCTGGCAGTAGCATTTGATAAATCTGCCTAGTTTTTTTATGTTAATGAGTGTTAAAATATTCAGATACTCAGCAGGGATCACAGTGTGAAGCAGGATTGTTGTCAGCACTCGTCTCATTATGTGTTTAATTATGTTTCTAAATAAGCTTTGAATTCATTGTCTTTTGCTCGAGGGAAACCGTAAGCTGCTTATATTTGGGTCTCTCTCCTCAATCTTGTGACCCAATCCATGTTTTCACAAATAATTGCTTTCGTAGTTTAAGGCACACCCCCCAGAGAGTTTGTGAAAATGTCTTAAAAAAATTATAAAAATAAAGCGAGAGTACAGAGACCGGAGTGAGCAGAGAGAGACTTGACTACTGAGCCCAGAGAGCGACTAGAAAGAGACCAGAGAGAGACCAGACAGACCTGAGAGAGACCACTATGACGCTCAACAAACAAAATAAATGCAACTCCCTGCCAGTATGCTGCCACTCCCTCTGGTGGCAGCATAGGGAGTTACAGGCCAATACAATTATTTACCCTTTATAGTCACCATATTTTCAACATTTTTAACAAGATATTATTTCCATTTCTAAAAAATAATCATATTTTTCTGTAAATTTTCTTATGTCTATTACCAACACTGGTACATCATGTGGGAGGAGAGCTTTTGATGAGACCACAACATTGTGTGCACTCACTCCTCTTTCTCTCACTCAGCTCTCTTTCCTCTCTCTCACACTTGGCTCCCTCCCTCACTCCTCTGTCTCAATTTGCTCCTCTCACACTCCGCTCTCTCTCATTTTGCTTCCTCACTTCTCTCTCTCACCTCGCTCGCTCATTTCTCTCTCTCGCTCACTTTGATCTCTCATGTGCTTCCTCCTCAGTGCTCAGGGCGGTGTCTGGGCTCCTCCTCGGTCCAGAAGAGGTCAGTCCTGTGTCGACGCCTGAACGACTCCAGCTCCGACTGTGATGAAAGCAGCAGGTGATTTCATTATGGGTGTCTCTCTCTCTCTGTACAAGCCACCATCAGGGTCCATTTGTGCAGTTTTTGAAGAAGGAATATACTGTACCACTGCTGCTTTTGACGACGTTGCTCTTTTGACCCCTTGTTACTCACTCCTTATGTGAAATGTGTATTCTTCAAAATAATTTCTCTTACTGTAATTATATCAACAACCTGTCCAGGGACTACAGGTAGCAACCGCGTTTTAGATATAACTTGTACATGACAAATTAACACTGGTGTCTATAGCAAAATCTCCTTATACAGCTCCATGTGTGGCCTCTTGTCCATGTGGAGACGGGTTTAAGCAACAACACCCTCCACATATCATTCCACATCTGTATTCAGTGACAACATGTGCATTACCTTCAAACGGTGCGAGTACCAAGTCTTGTCTAGAACCAGACCACTGTTGCTAAAGGCCAGAGAGTCCCAGAGGAGGTTGTCCAAGGCAGAGCTGACATTTGGGTTTCAGACTGATGTGTGTGCAAGAATAAAGAAGTCATTCAGGTCAATAGTTTCAATGGTAAAGGAATGCCTCTCAATGCCTGGAGATTATTTCAAATTTGTCAAAATATGATCACGTTTCAATAACAAAAAAGGAACATTATTACTATTACTATTTGTGTTATACCCAACAGTTTTCTGAAAAGCCAGATATGTTTTAGTGCTATACAAATAAGGGTTAGGGAGATGTGTGAGCAAATTAACATTTATTTGAAGTCCTCTCAGGGGTTTGTCCTGAAGTCCTCTCACATTAGCCCTGTTCTCAGGTCTCTGTACGTCTGCCACATGGTAGTGCCATATGCACCAACTCGAACTCTTAGGAGCACAGGAACTAGCCTGAACAAGGACTAAACATGGGGAGGTAGCAATTCAGATTTATGCAGCTATAATCTGGAACAGTCTTCCTGAAAATGTCAGACACTGTTGCTCAAATCCAGGTTGCAAACAGAACTTCATTCTGTCTTTTCTCAATGTAGGATTATCATTATTATATGTATTATTATTATTATTATATTTTTGTGTTATTATTATTTACCCCACTAACACTCTCCCCCGCTTTCCTGCTCCTCAGGCCTCTGTCGTACCGTAACTGCTCCTCAGACCTGTGCAGTGTGAGGTGGCGTCCCGGGCCGTGGGAGGGCTGCAGTGCTCCCTGTGGAGGGGGGTTCGAGTCCCGGAGAGTGGACTGTGTGCAGCTGCGAACAGGGAGAACCCTCGCTCAGCAACACTGCGCCTGGATCCAGAGACCTCCAACCTGGCAACCCTGCTCCAATGACAACTGCAGGACACCAGGTAAGAGTGGAGCACAGAACCCAAATGAGATCTGTCCATGTGGAGACAAAGGCGAGAGAGAGACCAGAGGGAGCGACCAGAGAGAGAGACCAGAGAGAGAGACCAGAGGGAGAGACCAGAGAGTGAGACCAAACAGAGTCCAGAGAGTAAAACTAAAGAATTTATATTTAAATCTCTTTCAATTAGAATACGTGTATACAAGGGTTAAAATGTTGTATCACTCAAGACAATGATAGAAAATGGATGTATGTTGGATATTCTGTTACTTATAGATTTTGAAAGTGCTCTCCTCATTTGCTTCTCAAATACATAAGTCACCCCCTTCTGTTTTTTTGTGGTTCAGCTCATGGTCCTTCTCAGTTCATTCCAGAGGTTTCTCACATCCCTGTATTGCCAGAGTATTGTTATAATATTATTCTGTATTGTCTCTCCTCACACCATGACAGAGTCCTCATTCTCTACTGTGTCTCCGTTGCAGGTGAGTGCAGAGACAGCTCCCAGCACTGCAGTGGGGTGCGGAGGCTCGGGCTCTGCCACTCTCTCATGTACAAACACAGATGCTGCCAATCCTGCTCACAGGACGTGGACTCCACCTAGTGGCAAATAGCAGAAGTACATACACTACCTTTTATGAACTTAGAGAGAGACTCTTGACAGGAGGATCAGCTGAGATGGATCTTGGTTGGAGGTTTTTCAAGGTCTGGAAATATGAAGAAGTCAGCTTATGCCCCTGCATCATCACTCAGCCATCAGCATTTACCCTCCTGCTACAAGTGAAGAAGAGATGGATCTTCACTTCAATTCAATTCAGTGTATGTGTGTTTTGCCCTAAACAGCAGTCGTCTCAGAGGACTATAAAGTTATGGATTCATCAATATCAGATCAGAGAATCAAATAGTTTGAACAAATGCAATAATAATAAACAAATAAGACGGATAATAAATGTCTCACAGGTATGAGATGTCTGCTCCCATAGACATACAGACTGTAGATTGAGGATTCAGGCTGTAGAACCTGGACTGAGGCTGTGCGATGCAGGACTGAGGAGGCCTCCAGGTGGGTACGGCCCACAAGTCCTGGCCGGGGGAGACAGTCCACTACTATATTTTTCATCCACCAAGAATATTAGTATATCAGTCTGCTCCCTGACGATCTCCCAGAAAAGGGAGAGAGACGTCCCCCTCCTCTCTGGGAATCACTGAACTCAGTGTTTGTGATGTAATTTTGAAGGGTTGGCTTCGCCGGCATGTCAGATTCCCCACAGCAGGTCAGAGTCTTGTACGGGGGAATCGAACCTATGATCTTCAGGCTTAAAAGGCCAATGCTCTACCAACTGAGCTACTGTCCCCCTTATTGATAAATCTTTCAATTCAATTGGACCTCTGTGAACCACTCATCAATTCTGTTAGTCCACTGTAACTTGGCAAAATATTTATGGTGCCACAGAAAATAAATAAATATAAAGCCCTCGCAGACTTCAAAATTCAGGAAATAACCTGTGGCTTATAGTCTGGCTTTAACAGTACCATGACTTCCAACATAACTCTGGCCAATCAATCTTTAGTACCAGCTCGGCCTGGATAGAACCAAGACCAAAAGGGACCAAAGAAGGATATGGTGCTGTTTAAACAAAGTGAGTGGAAACACCGTACAGTAGAGCCAAGTAAAGAATGTTTGTGTAGCCTACAGTAGACTAGACAAGACTAGAGTTGAGTAGGGCTGGTAGAAGTACATTGCCTGTGGTTTAATGCCATAGTGTGGAAACTTCAAGGCAAATAATATAAGTACTATTTTCTACTTGTCTTTATTAAAAAAATGTTTTTGAGAGTTATTTGCTTAATTATGAGACATGTATGTATTATTTCTTTTTAGTAAACAAAATAATTGCCCAAAATTAAATAATTGGACAAATTCAGTTGAGGTGGCTCAGGCATATTTTCCGGATGCCTCCTGGATGCCTCCCTGGGGAGGCCCCGGGGAAGACCCAGGACACGCTGGAGGGACTATGTCTCTCAGCTGGCCTGGGAACGCCTTGGGGTCCCCCCGGACGAGCTAGAGGAAGTGTGTGTGGATAGGGAAGTCTGGGCGTCTCTGCTTAGACTGCTGCCCCCGCGACCCGGCAACGGATGAAGCGGAAGAAGATGGATGGATGGATGGATGGACAAATTCAGTTCACATGTTTATTTTGGACAATTTCAAGCACATTATACACAAGTAAATGAGAAGCTGACACTTTTTTTGGGCAGTTCAACATATTTAATTTTTATTCTAATTTGCAATGATCATATAATACAGGGACTATGGGATTCTGAAATTAGATGTTGTTTGTACTGGTATATCATTATTCACATTGAATATATTGGTTGATGGCAAATCTCTATCTGGTCTCAATCAAGTCTCTCTCTGGTCTCTCTGGTCTGTCTCTCGTCTCTCCCTGGTCTCATGCAAAAATTTCGGAATAATGTTGATAATGTGTGAATATCAAAAATAGCAACAACAACAATCAAACATACAACAATTAAAGCTTCTCTGCGTTTAAATCATAAGAACATTCTCCTGGGGCTTCTGTCTGGCTGCATTGGCCCCTGGTGGCCCCCTGATGGTCCTTGGTTGTCCCTGATGGTCCGTAGGGTGGTCTTTGTGAGAGCCTCTGGTGTTGTTCCCTGCCTGCTGCAGTGTACAGTGTCTTGTTCTTAATGTGGTCTAAGTGCAATATCATAACAAGTATGTTTCAAATCTTTATTTTCACACTTCATGAGTTTTTAACAGATATAAAGTTTATACATTATTTATGCCTTGTACTCTGAATCATTCTATTGCATGAACTCCAAAGAGGATATGATCGTTTGTTTTTTGTTTTCTCCTAATGCTTTGAGAAGTGTTTGTGGTCCCGTTTGCTGCTCTCTGATTTCAGCTAGATGGAAATAACTCATTAAGTGCTTTTGTTAACAGTGCAAAGAATAAAGATGATTTTCACAACAATGACTGTTTGGTTCAGATTCATTTATTATATCAATCTGACCTCTGACTGCTCAAAAATATTCAGAGGTGAGATTAGAGTGGACAGTGACACTCCCTTGATCTTTCCAGCTAGTTTTTGCAGTCTCTGAGCTCACTATTCCATATATCTGGTGATATTATATTATAACGTGTTTAATCAATTCAATTCAACTGAGTTCACTAACTTGCGAAGAAGCATCAAGCGTCACAAATTGAACCGTGGCGTTTTGCTGCCTCTCCAGAATGAAAGCGAAAAATTGCTCTCTCTTTGAGGGAACCAATGAAAACAAGTGCCAAATTTCAGACAGGCAAGTGAAAAAGAGTAAGTAAGTAAGTAAGCAATCTTTATTTATATACCGCCTTTCACAGACCAGAGTCACAAAGCGGTTTACAATTGTTATTATTTTTTGGGCACTTGTCCTCTCACTCCACACAGAGATGGGAGCAGGGTCGCCGAACAGGAGGCGCATGCCAGACCTATTGTACATATTTTTAGTGGTAAGGGAAACCGGAGCACCCAGAGGAAACCTACGCAGACACGAGGAGAACATGCAAACTCCACTCAGAAATGCCCTGGTCCGACCGGGATTCGAAGAGAACCGTGTTAACTCAGCTAGGCTAATCCGCACATGTGACAGGGGCCAAAAATGCATGCATGTTAAGATTAGATAAGAACAGATGAGATATCACACTGGAGACATTTACATGTAACATTTGGAATCACTCAGATTGCGCAAAAGACAGAAGTGTGCACACTAGTGATATTAACGGCACTGTTTAGAGGAAGGAGCTAATGAAATAGAATTCATGACAAACTTAAATTGTAGGTGGTTTAAACGTCTAAGTACCTTAGTTTTCGTTTCCATACTGTAGGTATTACATTGAGTACTTGTCTTGTCCGACCGTCCCTGAACGCAGCACCAATGGTCGCGTAGTGGGCGGGCTCATCTCTGTCCACGTCTTCCGGGAAAACAACGTGAGTAACAAAATCCACATGGAATCAGAAAACAGCATTTATCTTGTTCTAAACCCTCGTCTTGCCCAGCTCGGTGACGTGGGAGACCTTCTTATTGTCTGTCGGGGCTGGTGCAGTTGTTGGTTGTGGTTATGGGTGTTGTGATGACTTATTGAGTTAGCCGACGGTGGTTAGCCGAGCTGACGTTTCATTGATTGTCAGCATTACACCCAACTATGATCCGCTTTTATTTTACTTTTCCCCAAATCCAGAATTTGCTTGTAGGTATATGAGCGATACGGATAGTTTACATATGTGTATTCTGTCATCATAGCATACAAATACTTCAGCCAGGAATTCCCTGATAAAGAAGTTCTTAATCTCAATGGGACCTTCCTGATTAAATAAAGCTAAAAAAACAAAAAAAAAAACACAATTTGTTCAGCACTAGAACTCCAAGAGCAGTTAATTAGACGGTTTTTTATTCTGTGGTCTCCATAACTATTTGACTTTTAGTATATTTCTTAGTAATCTATTTCGTTATTTAATTATCAAATTATCATTTTATTATTTTAACCTCCATTCATTTAGATTTACATCATAGATGAAATCTTCCGCAAAACATAATGAATTTCATATTTAAAGACATGATAAATCAGAACATCCCTGAAAACTCCTTTATTTGACACATTTATGCTTCATTAGTCCTATTCATTTTGAATAAGATTGTTGTCTTTATATACTTAACCAATGTCAACACTAATTTTATTATTTCAAATTATTTAGTATATTTATTTAACCATCAATTAACCAGGGGAACCTCATTGAAATAAATAATCTCTCTTTCTAGAGTATTTAGTTCAGACAATAAATTTCTATTTTAAATCAATCTGGTATTTTTTTGTTCTTTTAAAGCTATACTACTTATTCCTGAGCTGAGGACATTTTTTATTAGTTCCAACATTTGTTTTCATATTTATTATGGATTCTTGCTTGAATATCTGATTTCACTGCTGTCTCCTGCTCTTTCTGTTGCTGGGTTGCGGGACAGCAGTCTGAGCAGAGGCGCCGGAGCCATCTCAACAGGCTCATCTCCACAAGGAGAAGCAGTGGCTCTACTCCGAGCTTTTCCTGTGTGACTCTGATCATCCCTCTATCTCTAAGGGAGCAGCGGCTCTACTCCGCACTCCTCCTATGTGACATGTTCCTCTATATGTATTATGTATAGTCTTCCTCCTAAGGAAGCTCCACTCTGGAGGATACTTAGGTGAACCCGTTGTATCCGAGATCTTGTCCTGTTTTGGACAGACTGCTTTTGTTCAACCTCTCCTCTCCTCTGCTGACTGTGTGTTGTTATCATTATAGATCCATGGGTGGACACCATCACCACTGTTAATAATAAAACACTATTTCTTACATATAGTTCCTGCTAGTTCTGTCAAACAATTAAAATATTTAATTGCGATTAATCACATAAATGTTATAGTTATCTCTTGCACATATTCTACTGTTCTAAATGCGCTTTGATTTGGTTTTAAAAGAGGTAGGATGAAGCAAAACGCGTTTTAATCCAGGGCCTGTGCAGAAAAAAGACAGTATTTGAATTGTCTAATACTGCCTACTCAATTTCTGCTTTTGGGATTCCTTTTTACAGTGTATAGAACAGTGGTGACTACACTTGGTTCATGATGCATGTGATTCAAGATCAAGTAAAGACCATGTTGTCTTTATTTACATAAAAGAAATGATTACTTAAATGACCAGTTTAGAAGTATTGTAGATTTTGTAATGACACTTAAATCTGCCGCATAATGTCCTGTATGTTCTGCTGTAGTATGGCTCATATTATAAATGTCACTTATAACTGCTTAGTGTCATATTATCGATCAGAAACACTTACACCCCGTCTACTGTCTTCTACTCTGACCGTACACACACTTTCTCTGGGCTCTTTCTGGTCTTTCCTCTGAGGATGCGCTGTCAGAACGCATTGAGCATCAGTTATTAGTTGTTAGTCCAAAATGATCATGCAATAAAAAAAATTTACGCTGTTTAAATGGGGTTGTGTTAACGCTGTTGTTAACGCCGTTTTTAACGCGTTTAGCTGACAAAATTAGTTTCTGTTTTCTATTTTGCAAAGTTATAGTTAATTACTTATCTGAAAATTGATTGATCGAGTGATGAGCATTCGTTCAATACATTGTTTTTTAAAAATTCTGATGTTTCATTACATTTGATCCAAATGAAGCTAAATAGATTCTTTTCCTCGTTTGATCTTTAATTAATCATTTTTAGTTAGGCCTATTCACCCAGAGTATTACAGGTGTGGAGGCTTTATTAGATGCCTCCGATGCAGGAGGGTCTGTTGGGCAGTTAGTGTCCAACTAGAAGGACTGTGGGGGTGATCCAGGACACTTTAACATTCTACAACATTTATGGGCATTTATCAACATGTGTTCTATATTCTGTATGTGTTTTAACTGTTGATTCTCTGATCTGTGTTGGTGATTTCAATGGTTTTGTTAAGTCCTCTGAGATGACTTCTGTTGTGATTTAGGGCTTGTATTGTACTGTATAAGAGGGTACTTCCTAATCCTGAAATAATTATTGGATATTGAAAAAAGTTAAATAATGTGTGTATCCCCAGTTAAATAAGATGTCTCTCACACTGATAGCTCACTTTTATTGGACACTTTGCATGTGGACACACCATGAAAGCTAACGGAAGTACAAACATGATATATATAATCTTTATTTATTGACCCTTAATTAATGTGCTTGTTCCCTTATAAATATTTACTATTAACTTTAAATATATCTAATAATACTATAAACCTGCACATGTTCTGCACAAATCAAACTGTCTAAATGACCTTATTTAGCATAGAAACGTTAACTGCTGTCGGTTTGCCATTTAGTGGCCAACAATATCATGGCAACAAACAGCAAAAGACATTACTCATATTTACTAAATAATTTTATTAGACAACAATGAACAAACAGGTTCAAAGGCTGAAAAAAAGATGAATCTGGCCTGTTTTCTGCTTTTCAGTTAGGGCCCTTGGCTTTGTCACAACAGTGTGTGGCTCCTGTAAACAAAAGCGCTGACAACATGCAGTTATGATAATAGAAAAGTAATAATGGTAAAACAGAAATATCTATTAAGTCATTTACAAACACATTCAATGTTAGAGCCAGAGTTGCAGCACTAAGGATTGATTGATTGATTGATTGATTGATAAGCTAAATGAATAGAAGGATGTGGTTTCCTCTTCTGAACTGTGTTGTTATGTCAAAGGGTTCACGATGGGGCCCACGAGTTTGGACAAGATCAAGGCTTTACAGAAAAACCCAGCCAACATCAGGAACTTGTGCATCCTGGCTCATGTGGACCACGGTAACACATTTAATACCCATACATATGTATCAATGCTCTGTATACTTGATCATGACCTTAGTGTCTCCTATTGCAGGAAAGACCACGTTAGCAGACTGTTTAGTGGCCAGCAATGGGATCATCTCCAATCGGCTCGTTGGAAAGGTGAATGATGTGATGGCTCGACTTCAGTAGAGTTGTTGTTGTTGCAGCATGTCTAGATGTAATTCTTGTCAATGTTTGTTTTCAGCTGCGTTACTTGGACAGCAGGGAAGACGAGCAGATCCGAGGAATCACCATGAAGTCCAGCGCCATCTCTCTGCATTACACTCACAGTAAGAGCCATGTGTTAAGAAGATGGACGGTGTTTGAGAGATTGAGAGAAACAAACCAGGGAGGCCGATTGTTATTCGCCGGTTTTATATTTTTATCTTTCTGCCAAAAGGATCAGTTTTTTTACCCTCAAGATGTACACAAACGTTCGCAAATGGAGGGGTCTAATACGGCCGGTTCAGCAAAAAATGGAATAAAATGAACGTTTCCAGATTGTCCAACAAACGCCAACTGGATAAAGCCTCTTCGAAATGTTAAATTAGCAAAGCCTATGGGAGCCAGACATGCATATTTCGGAGTAGGTACAGACAATTTAGATGAGTAATAGAGCTCTAAGAGACGAGCCTAAAACTCTCTTGGAGCCTCGCTTTGGGACCAGCAGGAAGTCGACCATGATGGGCTGAAACTTTGCCGCCAATTTGACTTTTCATTTTTGGATTGTAGAAGTCCCTGGTTTTTCATCATACAGAGTTCTACTTTGTCATTTCCCATCTGGACAGATTGAAGTTAAATAATCTTTTTTTTAAATGTAGAAATCCTTCACAAGGCCTTAGATTTGGGTGTTTTGGCACAGGCTCAGACCTACAGAGCTCAGACTCACATCAGTAATATTACGGCCTGAACACAATGACACTAAATCATACGTCCAATATGAGCTCTTTAGTGCCACCTATAAGTAATTGGGGACTAGTGCTTTGATTGGCCCGAAAATCCCTGAGTGTAATCTCTGAACCAAGTCGAGCAAAACATTACATCACGCAAAAGTTGTAAATCCCACACCTGACTACTGGGGGTGTTCTCAAATGTTTGTATGAGTTTTTGGGGAAAATGTTTGTCCGATGAAGCTAGAAATGAATAAAAAAATACAGCGTATGACCTTGAACACAACAATATGCAACACACAACTCTGAATGCATTCTACTATGTCATTTCTCCATCTGGACGGATTGAAGTTATATAATCATGAATAAAAAGTTAGACATTCTTTACCGTTTTCATGTGAGGCGGATGCTCACCATTTCATGAGCATAATGGTGTGAAAATACATACCCAATATGACTCAAGAGCGCCACCTATGGGAGGCTGCTGACCTAAACTTTTCCGACACACAAAGTCCAACACACAAATCTTCCGTACCAACATCCGTACCAACAAAATACATTACGCAGAGGGTGCATGTCCCACCGGTGACCACTAGGGGCGCACTGAATTAAATTAATGAGCTTTTCCATGCTTAATCCTGGTCTATCGGGCTGCAAATTAATCAACAAATACACTGCATGAGGCTTAAGAGACTGGCCTTTCGATTGCAATGTAAGTAAAACAAATACACCAAACTTACATTATTAATGCACCCGTGCACAAAAAAACAAATGTACATGTTTTCATAGTTTTATCATACATATTTATTATACACATTTTGTTCCCTGAGCTCAAAATAGTATTTCTTTTGTCCCCACGAAAGTAAAACCGCACATACCTTTAACTCATCAAAACAGTGGCAGTCTGAAAAAGCTGATGTAAAAATGAGACCGAGGCAAAACACACAGCACATGTAGAAAGTGAGAGTTTTAGAGCCAGGATTTTTTATTACAGAGCTTCATCTTTAGTGTTTATTGATTACCCCAATTTTACCCAGAATCAGGACATTAACAGTGTAAATAACATCTCTCGTTGATTATTATTTATGTACGATTCTCAATTTTTTACCTATTTGTGCAATGCACAACTAATTTCAATTCAACGTTATATAATAGCCCTCGAGCCATTTGGTCATCTTGAAGTAGCCCTCGCATTTAAAAAGTTTGGTGACCCCTGCTTTAGACCCTCCTGTGTCTGCAAGGATCTGCTCCCACAGACTGAGACTGTAGATCGAGAACTGAGGCTCTAGATCCAGGACTGAGGCTCTAGATCCAGGACTGAGACTGTAGATCCAGAACTGAGGCAGTTATTTTTTTGCTCAATTAATAGTGAGTTATATCATTGTTAAAGTGTTGACTTAATATCTGATTATTTAAATTTTTTGAGTCTAAAACCCTTAATACATTTTCTACTGTCTCTTTACTAGGATTGCCTTATGTTCCTGTTTCAGATTTTTACATATTATCACCTAATATGTATAATCTTAGTTGGTTATTTTGGTTTGTACCATGTGTTTGTACCATGTGTTTGTACCATGTGTTTGTACCATGTGTTTGTCCAGGAGAGCAGGAGTTCTTGCTGAACCTAATCGACTCTCCGGGTCACGTTGACTTCTCCTCTGAGGTCTCCACAGCTGTGCGACTGTGCGATGGAGCTATTGTCATTGTGGATGCAGTGGAGGGAGTGTGTCCTCAGGTACAGAGAGGGGCCGAGAGAGACCAGAGAGAGAGACCAGAGAGAGACCAGAGAGAGACCAGAGAGAGACCAGAGAGAGACCAGAGAGAGACCAGAGAGAGACCAGAGAGAGACCAGAGAGAGACCAGAGAGAGACCAGAGAGAGACCAGAGAGAGACCAGAGAGAGACCAGAGAGAGAGAGAAAGAGTGAGAAAGAGAGAAGAGATAGACTAGAGAGAGAGACCAGATAGATCAGGACTGAAATTTATAAAAAGCAGAACAGTAATATGCTGAAGGAGAAATATTTATGAAGTCATTTACAAGTTTATTGTTCGTCTCTTAAATGAATTTCAACACAGTTTAATCCATCCATCCATCCATTTTCTACCCCTTAATCAATTTCTGGGTCAAGGGGGTGGCCAGAGATGCCACCCAGTACACATAGCACCAGCCCCTCACTGATCCTCCTGCAGGTGGTGAGTCCACAGGAGGATGGCCGCTCTATGGCATAGCCTTGATCTTTCAGCGGGGGCTTCAGGCACAGTGAGGTTAAGTGTCTTGCCCAAGGACACAACAACTGCAGTCATCAGTGGGAGTCGGTGGAGAAGGTCTCATGGTGGGCTTGAACCCACGACCTTCAGGCTCAAAGGCCAATGCTCTACCAACTGAGCCACTGTCGCCCATAGTTCAACCCATGCATGCTATTAGTCCATACAGTTACACTTCCCTTTTATTAAGTGGTTACTTGGGATTCAACACAAGTTTAGACTACTCAGAATGCTGCCAAAGTCTCAAGTGGAAGAAAATGGATGGATTTTGACGATAAAACCTTTTATATGTTATGAATCATTACTGGCACTTTTGAAACATGGTGTAATATCTGTAATCTGAAGAGTGTATTTGGTCCCAGACTCAGGCCGTGCTGCGGCAGGCCTGGCTGGAGAACATTCGTCCCGTTTTGGTGATCAACAAAATCGACCGTTTGATCCTGGAGCTGAAGCTGACGACGCTGGAGGCTCACACTCATCTGCTGAAGATCCTGGAGCAGGTCAGACACACACATGCGCGCACACAAACCTCACAAACCTCACAAACCACACAAATCACACAAAATATTCACACTCATCTACTGAAGATCCTGGAGCAGGTCAGACAAACACATACGCGCACACAAACCTCACAAACCACAGATAGATACTTTAATGATCCCCGTAGGAGAAATTCAGGTGTCCAGCAGCAGAAGACTCATCCAGGTTTGTTGTACAGTCTGACAGCCGAAGGATCAAGGATCTCTTGAAACGTTCTGTTCGGCAGCGCAGTGATAGGAGCCTGTTGCTTCGGTTACTCCTCTGAGCGGCCACAGTGTCATGCAGAGGGTGTCTGGACTTACCCAGGATGCCGTGCATTAGAGCCCTCATCCTACTCTCCAGCACAGCTCCCTAAAATCACAGCTCCGTAAAATCACAAGTTTTATGTGGATTTATTGTTATGATAAACAAATACAGTACACACACTATTTTTTCATTTATCTTTTGATGTCAAAAATTCCCTTTGACTGACGTGTTCGAGTTGATGCAGAAGTATGACAAAAGATCTCCAAGTTTAACATCTGTATTTAATTTCCTTACAATCAGATACAGAAATTCCAACAAAGAGAGCTCCTAAAACTAATCCATGTCCCTCTCTGGCCCTGTGCTGACTCTCTGCCCCCTCCTCAAGCCAGAGCATATCAGGAGAGGTCCAGGAAGAAGGGGGCGTGTCGTATCAGGCAGCTTCCGGTCTGAGATCCGCCTCCGCACCATGTGGCCTCCTCTGTCTCGCCAGACCTAAACAGAAATCATTCACACACTACCCCTCCCTAATTCTATAAAAATATTACTTCCTTGAGATAAGACAGGAGACTCTCAAGGCTGTTCCTCCAGATTCTGGGTCCATCTCCTTCTCCAAACAAGGAAAGGATTAGCAGAATCAGATCTTGGCCCCCCCCCCAGATTAACTATCATTAACTCATATTCTGCACTTTGGACTACAAAGGAAGGAGCTGAGACCAAGTCTTTTTGCTTAGGAAAGAGACAGAGTTCAAATCAGGGTCAGTCAAATTCACATCTGCTTTTTAGTCTATATTTAATACAACATTTCCCTCTCTTGACCTATATTAAATAGGTCACATCCACACAGAGGTGGGACAAAGTCATTGTTTAGCAAGTCACAAGTCAGTCTCAATTCATTGCCCTCAAGTCCCGAGTCAAGTCACGAGTCAAGACAGGCAAGTCCCGAGTCGAGTCCAAGTCAAAGGCCAACAAATTTCAAGTCAGTCCCAAGTCCTACGGTTTGACTTTCGAGTCCTCTCAAGTCTTTTTGACCGCGATTTGTTTCTTGTTGGTCTCCACGTACTTTTGTAGGCAAACAACATAATGTTAGGAATCATTTTGCTGGTGCATTCTCGTTGGTCTCTGACCCATGGACTAACAGTTTGTTCCATGTCGTTTGCTGCTGGTAAATCAAAACTATCTACGTGATCTAATTGGATGTTGTGTCAGATGCAGGCTCAGTTACACATGCACAGACCACACATAAAATCAGAGCAGTCCGTGTCAACATACTTTTTATCTTTGGGGTTTTTAATGGGAAGTAGCAAGTGCAGCATATATGAATATGAGTATTGGGCTAGGACCTGTATCTATAGTCCGTAGTGGTTATTGTTCCAAATGTCCTACTGTAGGATAGGGGTAGTATGAGGGGTCTAGGCTTTGGACCTGGGGCAGCTCGCCATCCAAAAAAAAAAGGGGGGGGGGGGGGGGGAGCAGCAAAGGACTGAAGGGACCAATGGAGTGGAAGGAACCTGGCCTGTATGAACTGGACCAGCATTAGTAATATCTCATAATTACCAATATATCATTACATAATAAAATGTCTCATATAAATTAATTCAATCAGTCAAAGCACTGATTCTCATATCAATGCACCATAAACAATAGTGCAAATATTAATCTAGCTTAGTGCACATAATCAAAACAACTATCTAATGTATGCAAACTTTAGCAGGAGGAGCACAGCAAAAACATACTCATAATAATAGGCCTCGGCGCCCACACAGAAAAATATAAGAAAGAGCCAACGGAGCAGCGCAGGCTAGCGCTAGTTTGACTCACCAGTTCCTCTTTAAAACACGGCACACAGTGTGACAACTGCGTCGATTCAATTGTATGAGGCGCCTGTAGTGAAAGCATTTCAATTACGGTTTGTAGAACAAAATATGACGTTAGGTCGCGATAAATACCTGCAGCTCGCTCATTTCCAGCTCCCCTACGACAACACACCCACCGGTGAATGCAGTGCGCTTGTTTAGGGAAGTGTTGCTGCGCGAACTGCGGGGAACTCACGTTCGAACTCTCTCGCGAGCGCTACAACTACCGCGAGGCTTTGTTTCTTCAGAGACGGCATCGATAGAAAGAGAGATGCGGAGAAAGGTAAAAATGGCCCGGGTTACGCAAGTCTTTACAAGTCAATTGGCGCAAGTCCAAGTGAAAGTCAGAGTCATTGATGTTAAAGTCCAAGTCGAGTTGCAAGTCTTTTTATATTTGGTCAAGTCGAGTCTAAAGTCATCAAAATCATGACTCGAGTCTGACTCGAGTCCAAGTCACATGACTCGAGTCCACACCTCTGCATCCACATCGTCGTTTATCATCAATACTTGTGCTTAGTTCAGGCTCGATATCTGTGAAGAATTAATACAGGGAAAACAAACAACACACAACCACATTCGAAACATATGTTTTTATCTAATAAATCCCTCTATACTATGGTTTTGCTTTCATTAACAGTGGCTTTGTGCCCGTGTGATTTTGCTCATGTCTATTCCACATTCTCAGAAACAAGACTGAACACAGAAAGACAAATGGTTAATATGAACATTATTATGGCGGTCAGTTTTCCAAATACATTTGTTGAACCAGGAAGTGCTGTCACTTCCTCCTCTCAGACAGTTTGGGATGAATGTACATCATTAATCAAATTAGTATTATCCTTACAAGAGCTAATCTATTTTAGCAGGTTTCTCTGGGGTCAGCCCCTCTACAACGGTATTTTGATTCTCTAATCTGAGCTGACAAATCGACAGCTCTTAAAATTCTCAAAAAATACCTAAATATCTACTTTTGTGCTATACCCAAATACATTATAATGCTTTTAAATGTTTTTGAATCTGTGTTGGTTCTAATCTATCTCATTAATTTAGGCTACACTCATTAACTTTTGCATTGTCAACATTCACCTATGTTTGAAACAAGTGAATTTGACAAGTAGGGTTGGGCACCGAGAACCGGTTCCTATTTGGAACCGGTTCCTAAAGTGCGGTTCCGGAACCGTTAAGAAGACGTTTGTATTTTGATTCTTTTTTCGATTCCTAAATGCCGGATGCGGCCCGCACAGCAGCGTCGGAAGCGTTTGGAAGGTGGGGGGGGGACACGTTTCAAAAATGCTTAGCAGCTGTCCACCCAGCTTTGTGAAAAACTCAGTGAATTAAGCTGTTATGAGACGGCACGCTCGTGTTTTCTCAGTATTTGCCACATTTAGCTTCAGCCACACACTCCTGCCATCGCAAAGAAACCTCTCAACGCTTGTATCTTCACATTTTCCACAAACGCAGATAAAACTGAGTCAAGGGGTAAAGGAAGCAAACATTTATCCGTCAAATGACTAATTCAGATTCTATTTGGTTAAGTTAGAGTCCAGACAGCGAGGTTTAACGGGCGTATTGACCGGTTGAACACTCGTGCTAGCCCGGTGCAGTTTCCCCAAACTCACGCTACATCAGTTTCATCACTCGCTTTACAAACACATCCAAAACTGATGTTCCTTACCTTAAAGTTACTGGTCAGGCCCTTTGTAATTATGAAGAAGGGAAACACGCTGTCCACCTGCCGAGGACCGCAAAAAGTCCTGCTCCTCCTCCATGTAATCCGTAAAAAACTCCGAAAACACGATGCACGAGTCCTTGTGCTTTGGTCAAATCTGTCAGTCCGTCCAACGATAATCCTCCAGTATTCTCACTTTAGCCGTTTTTCAGCGGTTTACAGAGACGTGTTTACTTCTTCTTCTTCTGTCGATTATTGGCGGGTGGCAACCAGCAGCTTAGGTGCATACCGCCACCTACTGTACCGTGTGTGTCTCGGGAAGCTAGTTACTTCAGGTTACATTCTGATTGTGCATAGCTTTCCACCCCGGAGGGGGGCAAACCGAGACGTGTTTACATTTCAGCCGCTCTGAGATGATGGTGGGCGGTGCCACATAAACACCGCTTGTGTGTGTGTGTGTGTGTGTGTGTGTGTTCGTGTTCCTTGTTTTTTAATTTAATTTGTTTTTATGTAAAGCACTTTCTGTTGCCTTATGGCAGGAAAAGTACTTATGAAATAAAATTTGATAAAAAAAAAAAAAATTATCTTTTTTTTTTCTCTCCTGCACATCAAAGAATTGGAATCGAGAATCGTTTAGAACAGGAATCGATAGTGAGAATCGGAACCGGAATCGGAATCGGAAAATTGCAAACGATGCCCAACCCTAAAGTATCTAATAGAACTGTGCATGAACTGTAATGAACTTTATCTACTTTTGAAGTAAATACTTTTGGACATATTATGAAGGAAATGGTCCTTTTACCGTTTGATTTTTAGCCCTGTCTAAAAATAATCTCTATTTTTGAAAGCATCTATCTATTTCTACTCCTTTCCTACTATTTAACATCTACCAAAACGCTGAAATACTCATACTTTATCATTTTAAACCATTTTAACCCTTTAAGCGCCAAAGTCGCAATATTGCGACAAGCAACATTGCTCACTTAAACAGGCTGTATCTAAAAATGTGGTGCAGAATCTTGTTAATACTTTTCACCAGGGGTTAGTGGACATGTGTGCCTGTAATATGAGCAACATTTGTGGGTGTGGTTATATTGAAAGTTTTTGAGTAAATTGAGTTCGTAAAACACCTGCGGCGCAGCGGCGCGGAGGCGAAGCAGCAGCGGTAGAGCTGAGAGGAGCGAGAGCAGAG